TGGAAAATGTACTTTTATGTAGAAAATCATTTTGCACAGTAGTGTTAGACTTTTTTGGCTTTTAAAGCTAAATGAGTTTATATTTTTATAGAGTACAGTAGATTAATTTTCTGGCATATCTTTATTAGAGCTTCAGTTCCTTATTAATTTCAGTTCTAAGCTTCACAGCCTAAGCTTGACTATCCTCCTAATTGCACTGCTTGGTACATTTGAAATAGAGCCCTTTAAAAATATCTCTTGCCCTAGATCTCTTCTATGAGTCATTATCAATTTTCTATAAAGTTTAGAAAATTTTAGTAAGCAACAGAACAACTTTTCTAGAACACTACTGTGTTTGAAAGATGAACAAATCTATAATAATTAGCTTTTTAGTCACTGAAAGCATGTACTGTACTTTTTGCTGCCAAAAAACTGGCATTGAAAAAGCCACTACTGGTTTTGTGGTAGTATTAGTAGTTATTGCATTAAATTGATGTATGGTGCTTCCAGAAGTACATTCAGGAAATATAGTGTTCTAGTTCCATTAAGGGGTAAAAGCATTGCTTCATTGTACTTTCACAGAATAGGGCTTTAAATCCCAGCACTGGCGAGGCGGAGATGCAGGAGGATCACTGTGAGTTCGAGGCCAGCATGGGGTACAAAATGAAACCCTGTCTCCAAAAGATGAAAAAAAGAATAGGGCTTTAAAAGTAGAACATAAAAAGTTACTAAACACACTATGAATTTATATATTTAATAGAAATTTAAATTCATGCATAAACCTACTTTATAAATTTGTGCTCATGTTCTTTAAAAGTACTAAATGACCAATTAAACAGCTTATGCAACAGGTATCAACCAAATTGTTTTATGTTGAGGACTAAATAATTAAGAGAGGGAAAGGAGAAGAGCTAGGAAACATGACAGTGGTAAGCTATACAGTTATATGTAGAAGATGGGTAAGGCAATGATCCTGAGAATCTTCAGAAGGTTTTTGAAGCTAGCAGTTAATTGGAAGGATTCTCATCCTGACTAACTATATATACTGACACCTGTGAACTAAGCAACTACACTGAAGAAGGCAATTTTTAATAGTAGGTTCATGCTTGGAGTGCCTGTCATTCTGGTCTTCTGAATATGGGCTGCTTGTCATGACATGCCGATTGCTGCTGTGCTGTCTTTCGGGTAGATGATTGTTCAAAAAGAAGGGGGTGATGAATGAAGGCAGGAGACAGGAAAAGGAATGTTGCGGGACTGTCCTGTTTCAAGGTTGTATATGGTTAGATTTCTGGACTTATGTGTAAACATAAGAATTATATAATTCTTTATTCCTATTTTTAAATATATTTTATTTTTTAAAAATGTTTTTTCATATCCTGTAGGGACTTAAAGTTTAGCATATCAATGCTTGATGAAAAACACCTGTTCCATGTTACGCCTAAGATGTTTGATATTCAGACAGATAGTGAGGTTAAGCTTAACAGCCTAGGTTGTATGGTAATAACTGTAAGCTTCTCTTCTGGAGGGTTAACAACCTAAGTTTGCAGACCAAAATATTAGAGAAAAGGGAGGGCTGCAAGGAAAGCCAACATTTTGGCCCTAGCCTTCCAAGGTCAATTAAGACTCAGGACAGATGAGAACTTGTACTGTAACATCATGTAACTCAGTTGTGTCCCAAATTTTCTGATCAAGGAGATTATGGGGCCAAAGAGGAAAGTGATCGATGATGTAGAGTGTGCCAAGGAGAGTCACATGGAGAGAAAACATTCTCTCAGGCTTTCACAGAGAGCACATTGGCCAAGCAATGGCTATGACTCATCCACATGGCTGACACAGACAAAGTTTCTACAATCTGAGGTACAGGGTCTCAGGATAAATCCTGAGGGGATTTGATTGACCTTATCAGATCCAAAAGCTACAACTCTTGTTGTGTGCATAGGTCTTGCTTTACCTTGGTCTTAACCATCCAGCAGAAAAGTATAAAAATGAAGTGTAAGAAGTTATGCCATGGTGTTATGTTAAGCTGTAGGGGACTCAGGTCAACAATTTCTGACATTGCCAGTGAAGCAGAAAGCCCAATACTATTATGGACTACTGGACTCTTCGAATATTTTGCTGGGTTCACACACCTATATTCAAATGACGGAACTAAAAAAAGAGGATACAGATGAATGTCCATTTTGTATCTGTGTATTCAAAATGGTTAGGATAGATATATAGTTACATTCTCTTAATGAATAGAGGGATTTGTTCTAATAGTGTTTGAAATAGGATATCATGTCTGCATCTTGTACAGCAAATAACCACTAGGAAAAGAGTATGCAATGTGTTAATTATTGAAACTGTCCTACCAATTTGATTTGAAACTGCCTCATTGCTATTTGTTTCTCAATAAAATTATGGAAAAAATTGTTTTATGCACACTTAAATTTAAATTCTTACCAAAGATTTGTAAAAAGAGTAGAATCCATCAAACTGGAACATAATTTGTCTTCAGATAAGTTATTATAATATTACCATTTTTAGATTTCTTCAAATGAATAGCACATTAATAATAAAAGTATATAGTTCTGTATCTTCTATTATATATAGTCTGTTTAGATTGTGGAAACAGCTTACCGTAGAGCAGGTGGCTTATAAACAGCAGAAATGTTTTTCTCACAGCTCTGGGAGCTGGAGTTCAAGATCAAAGCACTAGAGGACTCAGTGTCTGGTGATTTTTTTGTTTTTTTTTTTGCAGAACCAGGGATTAAACTCAGGCCCTGCTCATTCCACTGAGCCATCTCCTTGGCCCCTCAGTGTCTGGTGAGAGTCTGCTTTCTGTTTCACAGATGGCCTTTGCTCACTGAGATTGCGTGGTAGAAGAGGCCCTGTTTCTCATTTTTAGGTCACTAACTCTTTCTCTTGTGGATGAAGTCCTGGAACCTGATTACCTACAGAAGTCCCGACCTCCTAGTAGTCATTGTTCTGGTGATTAGTATTTCAGCATATTGACTTAGGAAGAACAAAATATTTAGCTTATAGTATTCCACTTTGGACTTCCCCAAATTTATATGCTTTTTTTCTCTCTCTCTCTTTCTTCCTTCCTTCCCTTATTTAGTAGAGAATCTTACTATGCGCTTGGGCACGTAGTGATCCTCCTGTCGCAGCCTCCCCAGAACTGGAATTATAGGTGTGTGCCACCATGTCCAGTTTCCGTGGCCAGCATGGTGCACCCAGGGTTCCATGGCTGCAATGGTATGCAGTACTGGGGATCGAACCTGGGTCCTTCAGCTTGCCAGGCAGATGCTTATACAGCTGAGCTAGTTCCCCAGCCCCTTTATATGCTTTTCAGTTGCACAATACACTCATTACATCCCAGCAGTCCCAGGAGTCTTGACTTGTTCTAATATCAACTCTAAAATCTAAAATCTAGAATTTCATCTAAATATCACCTAAATTAAGTATGAGTGAGACTCAGGATATGATTCATCCTGAGGTGAATTGCTCTCTAGGCTGCCAACCTGAAACCAAATAAATTACACACTTCCAAAATACAGTGGTGGGATAGATATAGGATAGGCATATCCATCCCAAAAGAGAAGAAAAAGAAAGGAGAAAGGGATAATGAAGTCCAGGTTAGTCCAAATGATGAGACTTTTTTTTTAAGTAAAGATTTAATTTGATTTTGAATATGGAAATTGAAAGGCTTAAGAATAATTCTTTTTTAGGTGAGTGCTATACCCCAAGCTAGTAGGGTAGAGATCTCAACTAGATCCATTGAAGTAGATTAGATGTCTTGCTCCCACAGTGCTACCCAGTAAGAGTTAAAGCCCTAGGATTCCGACGGTTGTTACCATGCCTTAAGGTAGAGGCCAACTGTCTGTACTGTTGAAAATGAATCAGTAGTTTTCTTTCTTTTTTTTTTTTCCTTTCTGTATTTGATACAGGGTCTACAGGGCCTCACTACACAGATCATACTCCTAGTGATCCTCCTGTTTTCAGCCTCCCAAGTGCCTGGATTATAGGCGCAAGCTACTAGGCTTAGTCTCGGTTGCCATCTCAGCACGCCCTGGGGGCAGGGGAGTGGGGCACAGCACACCATGGATTGAACCGCCATCTCAGCATCTGCCTAAGCAGGCACTTTAGTCTGCTGAGCTGGCTGGCTGGCCCTCATTAGTTTTCTTTTTATTATTTTTTTAAATGTGTTTAGTATAGGGCCTACAGGGTCTCATTATTCAGATCAGACTTGCAGTGATCCTTCCTGTTTTTCAGCCTCCCAAGGGCTGGGATTACAGGCACACAGCACCATGCCTAGTCTCAATGCTTTTTGTGGGGTGAAGCCCACATGGCAGGCCCAGGAATTCCTGGCCCATGTGTCTGCCTAAGCAGGCGCTTTAATCTGCTGAGCTATCTGACTGGTCAGTTTTCTTTTGATACAGGGAACATAGCCTCAAGATCTCTGAATCTGCCAGATGTGGTGGTACACATGCTGAGGCAGGAGGATTGCCACAAATTCAAAGCCAGCTGCAACTACACAGCAAGACCCTGTCTCAGAACCTCCCCCGCACACCACCATCCCCCTCAGAAAAACCCCTGGGTCTCTTTTAGGGTTGTTCTTCCTTTTTCTTGAAGAATAGTGCACATTCTTAGGCAAACATCCCTGTCGTTCATAAAATCTAGAGTGTGACAGCCATTCTTTACTTTTTTCTCAGCTCCTTTCCTTTCAGTTCACACTGACAGTTTTCCTGTGTGGGTGGCTGTGGTTCACACTCACACTGATCTCCTTAGCAAAGGATGCTTGGACATACCCTTAGTATTCTGTCATATCTATATGTATATCTGTGTCTTTTTCTTGTATGGATAGGCTAAGAATTTTAAATCTTTTAAATTATACTTCTGTTTTGCTTAATAATTATCTTAATAATTATTTTTAATTATCTTTAAATATTTCTCAAATTTTACAATAATGTCAGAAGAGCTAAGCCATGACATTTTACTTAGAAATAATTTCAGCTAAATATCCAGTTTCACGTCCAAGTTCTGGAAAACAGTCCATACTATCTGTCTGCCTGGAGCAGTGCCCTCTGCAGCTGAATAACCCCTTTAATGAGTATTCCAAATTTGATGGCAAGGGTTATGTAGGCACAACTGCAACCAAGAAGATCGATGTCTACCTTCCCCTGCACTCGAGCCAGGACAGATTGCTGCCAATGAGCGTGGTGACAGTGGCCAGCGCCAGGGTGCAGGACCTTATTGGGCTCATCTGTTGGCAGTATACAAGAGAAGGACGGGAGCCAAAGCCCAATGACAATGTCAGTGCATACTGTCTGCATATTGCTGAGGATGATGGGGAGGTGGACATTGATTTCCCCCCACTGGATTCCAATGAGCCCATTCATAAGTTTGGCTTCAGTACGTTGGCCCTGGTTGAAAAGTATTCATTTCCTGGTCTGACATCCAAAGAGTTGCTCTTTGTTCGAATAAATGCTGCTCATGGATGCTCCCTTATTCAAGTGGACAACACAAAGGTCACCATGAAGGAAGTCTTGCTAAAGGCAGTGAAGCGAAGAAAAGGATCTCTTAAAATTGCAGGCCCCCAGTACTGCCTGGAGAGCAGAGTGAGCCCAATGTCGCTGTGGACCTGGAGAGCACGCTGGAGATCCAGAGCGCATGGGAATTCTGCCTGGTCCGTGAGAACAGTTCAAGGGCAGATGGAGTTTTTGAGGAGGATTCGCAAATTGACATAGCTGCAGTACAGAATATGCTCAGCAGCCATCATTACACGTCATTCAAAGTCAGCATGATCCACAGACTCCAATTCACAACCGACGTGCAGTTAGGTCACGCAATATTTAAACTAACGTAGCTAAGCAAGCATGATTATAAGCACCTCTACTTTGAATCTGATGCTGCTACCATCAATGAAATTGTACTCAAGGTTAACTACATCCTGGAACCACAAGCAAGCACTGCCTGGGCTGACTATTTGGCTCAGAAACAAAGAAAACTGAACAGATGTACAAGCTTCAGCTTCCAGAAGGACAAGAAATCAGGGCAGCAGTGACACTGGCCTCCGTCCCCAACCTGTCATTGCAGCTCAGAGCCCACCTGCCAGGGCCAGGTGGCCTTAGAGCCCACCCCAAGCCCTGCAGTGCCCCAGGAGGCCAGTCTTGGGCTCGGAGCACAGACCTGGGGCACAATGGGGAAGGCGTGCAAGGGTACCTAGGCTGCTGTTTAGGGGACCGGATGTGGGACCGCAGTGGCTTTGAGCAGCAACATGCAAGGGCCAGGCCACCCCCAGGAGCCACAGGCCACTCGGCCATCTCCACTGCGTGATGACCCTGTCCAAGGCTGTACATAGCCACCTGGACATTTCCTTGCAACTTGATCAAATTTCTTAAATGAAGAACAAAAGTGTACTTTTTTTTGCTTTTTAATAAACAGGTATACTCTAAAAAAACAACAACCCAGTTTCATTTCTTGTACAAAATGCTGGAATATTAACATACTTCATCCGACTTGTTTGCCACTTTTATGATTTCTATTTTTTTGTTCTTTGAGACAGGGTCTCCCTATCTATTATTCTAGCCAGCCTTGAACTCAGCCTGTAGTCCTGGCTGGCCTTGAACTTGCAGTGATCCTCTCACGCCAGCCTCATAAGTGGTGGGATTACAGGCGCTTCCGCGCCTGGCTTTCTTGCCACTTTATAGTAAGACTTGCTTCTCTGTGTTGTGCAGTAACATGCTCCTTATGTATGTATACCTTAGGTGGGCCTCTACTGCCCTTACTTTATCATCCTTACATAGTATTCCTTGAAGAGATTGAGGCTCTTGCTATAGCTCTTTTCTCTCCGAGCTGTCACCAGAATTACCTTCAGAAGTCCATCCATGGCAGTGCAGGGTTTTCCTAGCAGGTACCCCAAACTTCCAGGCTTTATTTGTTACCAGCCCTACAGCTGTCTTCACATTTAGGAGGTGTTTGTTATGGCAGCACCACCGTTTGTTTGTACTAAAATCTGTATTGGGACTCTCCAGAGAAACAGAGCTGGGGAAAGGGATAGAGGAATGAATGAGTGAGTGCATGAATGAGAAGAGATTCATTATGAGGGGTTGGATTACATGGTTGTGAAGGCTAAGAGGTTTCTTTCTTTCTTTCTTTTTTGGTACTGGGGATCAAACTCAGAACCTTGTACTAGCCAGGCAGGAGCTTATCCTGAACTATCTCCCTGGCCCAAGGTTTTGTGATATACCATCTGCAAGCTGTTATACCACAGTATAATTCCAGTCCAAGTCCAAAGGCCTGAACACCGGGTGGAGCCAGTGGTGTAAGGCCTAATCTGAATCTAAAGGTCCACAGTTCAGGAGGGCTAATGTCCAAGGGCAAGGGAAGATGAGTATAGGCTCAGAGAGCAGATTAGTTTCTTTGTCTGCCTTTTTATTTTCCAGACCTCAGTGGAGTGGATGTGGCTCACTCAGATTGGTGAGGCTAGTCATTCTTTTGACATTCAAATACTCTTCTGGAAACACCCTCACATAGCCGGAAATACCAGCTAGTATATCTAGCCCAGTCAAGTTTACACATAAAGTTAACCATCCTGTGGGGTCACTTAAGGATGCTTCACATATCTGAAAAAATGAGATCAGGAAAATGTTACTTCTTTTTTCCTCTTTTCCCTTCTGTGCTGGGATGGAACCAAAGAACTTCATACATGCTAGGCAAGTGCTCTACGACTGAACTGCACCCGTTGCCCAAAGATCCTATTTCTGATAGCAGCACTCTAGAGTATATGAAGAAGTAATAACCAAGAATTTTTCAGAAACACTATGGATGTCAGCCACAGATTAAAAAAGTACTTTGAACACCAAGGAGAACGAGAAGAAAAGAACATGTAGGTACCTTACAGGTCAGTGGGTGAAAACTAAAGACAGAGGACAGCCTAAAAAGCAGCCAAAGGAAAACACACATGAAACATAAAGACCTGTAGTGAGTCCTGATGGAAACAATGGAAGTCCCGAAGACAATGGAATGACATTGTTTAAAGTGTCTAAAGGGCTAAGGATATAGCTTAGGATATAGCAAAAGGATAATGATATTCAGTGGGAAGGCATAAGGGGCCTGGAAATACAGCTCAGTGGCACAAGCGCCTGACTGGCTGGTGCAGGGTCCTGAGTTCAATTTTTTTTCTTTTTTTTTTTTTTGGCGGAACTGGGGATTGAACTCAGGCCCTTGTGCTTTGCCAGGCAAGCGCTGATTCTACTGAGCCATCTCCCTGGCCCCGGCCAGGTCTTCTTGATCTTATTTATTTATTTATTTATTTTATTTATTTGTGTGTGTGTGTGTGTGTGTGGCCAGCTCAGCCCACCAGGGGGCGGGGCTGGCTGGCATGTGGTG